ACGATGTCGATATTTCATGATTTGAATATCACGGTTATCGTCAATACAGGTATATTGTGACACCCCTACTAGAGAGTTCAGAAAATGCTTGAAATGAGGTAGGAATTGTGTGAATACACATTTGTGCACTTCAATGGATATTGATTCAGATTAACATTGATAGTTTCTTCATATGGGCACTTTTAACTGTTGTTGAGCTACTCACTAGATAAACAGGACACTAGACAAAGAGATTCTAGTATGTGATTCTCTTAGTCAAGGGACTTTGTGAACTTACTTTATTAAGTTTACATAATAATATAGAAGTCATTATAGAAGTCATGACGTTTTATCCAACAGAGGTCAAATTTAGATTTATATCAATAGACATTTTATGTTGTGTCTTCCTGGACACTCAATTTTGCTTCTTATGTTACTGTCTTTATTTTGCCAAGCAGAATTCTTCCACAATTCAGAGTAACAAGTCAAATTAATATAATATAATAAACAATATAATATAATAAACCATCACATGATTAAATAATTCAAATTAAGTATGGAAATGTTGTGACCAAAACAGGGGAAAAAAAAACAGGGGTCTGAGGCCTGCTGTAGAGGGCAACACAAACAAACGAATAAATAAATGTGTATATATATATATATATATATACAGTGGGTACGGAAAGTATATATTCCAACAGTTTCAGAAAACCTGGATATATGAGTAAGCCTCATTTTTAGACTAAATCATGTACAACTGGAAAAATCATGGGGCCTTAAATTGTTGTGGAGGCTTAAATTCAAAAAGGTTTAGAATTGCTGCTTAAGAAAACTCTGCACACTCTCGACATTCTTTCAAACAACTTCTGCTTTTTAAAGAGTTTGGAGGGAGTTCCTCTATATGCTGCATGGGCATTTGTTCGCTGCTTTCCCTTCACTATACGGTTCAAAAATAAAAAAATGTTGGACCGTATATGGATGGGCACTTGTGTAATGTCTGATTACTTGTCTTAGGGAATTAATTATTATTAATTCATTCAGGTTTTGAGAGGACTCGAATCTGAAAATTCGAAGTCAACCTGATTAGAACTGATTTCAAATTTTTGCGTTTCCTTGTTTGACTGCTTGAGGGAATTCCATTGCTGATTGGCTGTTGATCTGGCGCCTGAATGACGTTTGGATGACGTCCTTTTGGGAGAGCCCTCGTTGGATTGCTTGTTAGCTACTTTCTCTTCATAGAGGGAGTTCCTCTATATGCTGCATGGGCACTTGTTTGCTGCTTTCCCTTCAATGGTCCAAAAATCTATTTCATTATTATAAATTTATAATAAATTTATTATTTTAATTGATAATATTGGTTTTGTGAGGATATTTATTATAGACTTATATTTGTCTGCAAAACTAATTTCAAACATGTAAACCTAAGCCTTTAGGTCTGAAGTCATTTAAGATCAAAATAAATACATATTCACTCAGGTGTATCCAGAATTGACTCGTAATATACATTAAATTGAATGCTCTCAATGTAATCGAGCTACAATGCTTTTTTTTTTTTTCGCACAGTCGAGCAACAGTTTTAATCTGTCTGTCCGAGTATACATTACACAGTGCCTAACTGAATAATTGATACATATTGGTAGAATAATTAGCTTGTAATGTGAATGTTGTGCATTGCCTCTGTTTTTTGGGTGCAAGCGCATCACTTCAACATGGTATTCAGATTAACATTGAAAAAAATGTCTACAAAGAATAATGTTTTATTGCTTTGCTGTGGTAATGTGTATATGATACATATGAATGTAGGACATACACTATCATTCAAAAGTTTGATAGATTTTGATGATAGATAGATAGACAGACAGACAGACAGACAGACAGACATTTAAAAATATACTATATAATATTTTGCAAAAAGAAAATCTTATTTCTGAATATCACAGACTGTGTTTCATTTTACTCCTGAAAATATAAAACATCCTAATGAGATGTATTAATTAATATGCATGGCACGACAAAGTGACATTAGTGACATCAAACAAAGGCGTTTTACCATAAAGTTGATCAGAGCTAATGGACTGCAGATATATACACAGAGACAGCTGTTCCTTAAACATAAAACCCTATTAAAGTGCAAATCATGTCTAGAAAAAGGAGATTAAACATATAAAACTAAGAGAGAGTTTTGGATTAGCTTTGTTTGTATTAAGGATAGAATCGCTTTCCGGTTGCACAGTGCAGCATTAATTATGTGTCATACGCATCTTTGATAATGAGCCAGCTAGACCTCAGGTAGGATTCAGCCAGGGGCGTAGCCATCATTTCAGAAGTGAGGGGGACAGAAATGTGTGTATATATATATATATATATATAAAACATATATAAACATTACAATGTAACATTTCTGTAATCTATATAACCTACCAGTCAACAGTTTTTGAACAGTTATTTGATTTTTAATGTTTATAAGAAGTCTCTTCTGCTCACCAAGAGGGGGACACGTCCCCCGCATCCCCCGCGTAATCTACGCCCCTGATTCAGCTCAGTCTCTTCAGTCTTGAGTTCCTGGATTCTTAGCTTAAAAACCTACACCTGATTTCAGGCCAGAGCATTGCTCTACAGTCTTATCCAGCATGCCACCTCTGTACCGCCTAAACCTTCTAATACCCAGCTTGACACACATGCTATGTGTGTGTGTGTGAGTGTTGACGATAATGATGTTTTCTAAAGCAGGATAGCATGTGTATGTGTGTTTATGTGTGTGTGGATAATAGCAGCATGCTCTAGAAGGGAATTTGTGTGTGTTTGTTGATGATAATGATATATTCTAGACAGCTTAGCCTTGTTTGTTTCTTCCTGTGTAACAGAAATCATCACTACACGTCTTTTGCTGCCAAGACTCATCAAACACAGCCGCCAACATCTGCTCCCTGCAAAGTCATCACTTATGAGACTTTAACCGTCACAGGGCCAAATATGCTACATAGGGCATTTGCATAGCACCCTACTAAGAAAACGACTGCAGAGAGAAGCATATACTGACTCATCTGAGCACTCAGAGAGGCAGAAGATAATAAAATGCTAATGCTTAAAGGGATAGTTCACCCAAAAATGAAAATTCTGTCATCATTTACTCACCCTCATGTCGTTCCAAACCTGTATGAGTTGCTTTCTTATGTTGAACATAAAAGAAGGTATTTTGAAGATTGCTGGTAATCAAACAGTTGGTGGTTGCCATTGACTTCCATAGTAGGAAAAAAAAAATACTATGGAAGTCAATGGCAACCACCAACTGTTTGATTTTTGGGTGTTTGAAAACTGTTTGAAAAGGGTGAACTATCCCTTTAAGACCAGAGATCTGTGGAGATCTGTTTAAAAAAAAAAAAGCAGAAAACCCCGACCAAACATATTGATGAGTCATCTTGAACTCATGACATCTAATCAAATGCTCTATAGTAAGACATTTCTCTCTTTTGTATATTAAAAAAATCTTGTCCAGTGTCTTGTTGGAAATATAGACACAGGAACAAAACTCACCCCGATGACATATTAAAAACAGTTTTTCTTTAATCGTTGTAATACAAATGGACATGTTTTTAATCACGAGTCAAAGAGAACAAAATCGTAACTTCCTGGTAAACTGGCACTAAATATTACTAAGAAAACTTGGAGAAGCTACTGAATATAATAATTTTCATATATGATAAATTACTTGTGCCTCAGAGCGAGCAGACAAAATGCAGTCATTGCTTTCGGAGGTGGATGCCAGCTGTTTGGGAACACAGTCGTGTAAGACAACTATACAGAAATACTTTGACGACAGACTTTGCTCAGGCATTTCAGAATGACCATAACAACATATAGATGCTGTGAACGAGATCGGTCCGCTGGTTAGTCAAGTTATCCCGTCTCATAGCACTAAGTCACATGAGATGGATAATACAAACTATTCAAGATAAACCCAAGTTAAATGTCTATTGAAAAACAAAGCAGTTTTCAAAGCATAATACAATATGTGGAACTGGCAGGCAAATGTAGAAATTCAACTGTATAGAAATAGCAAGCTCTAATAGAAGATGCGCATGGAGGAATTTATTCGGTAAATGTGTTTCCATCGTAGTTTATGCAAATTTTTTCTTATCGGATAAGAAGTTTATCCTACTCAAATGTGTGCATATGTTTTTTATGCGCATTTTTAGAATTTATGCGCATCTTGGCGTTTCCATCCAGCGTTTTTTTTTTTTATGTGATATTCCAAAATGCACATAAAAATAGGTGGATGGAAACATAGCTACAGTTGCTTTGTGTGACTTAGAGATTATATTCACATGGAAATGTTGATCAACGCCGGGTGTGCCTCACACGTCCTGAAAAGTGAAGCTGCGGGCTCTTTGATCGCCCCCTGGTGGCTGGCTGCAGTACAGGTCATAAACCCCGCCCTCTCCATGTAAACGTATGGGACTTGAGTCAAAAAAAAAAAATTACACTTCCAATACAATTTTCCAAAAGATGGTTTTGGTCATTTAAGGTAGTTGTCATCACGCTGATATATGTTCAATTTGTTCGTTTTTGTGATGAGTTTGATTTTAGCTAGTAATTTGATGCTATAAAAACGGGGCGTGTCGTTATGTTGATTGGGTCTGCAGGAGTTTGGGTGGGAGTTTGATACCGCGGCTCCACCTCACGACACTACTGCGCAGACTCTGGCTCCAAACAATCTCTACTTTGCAGACTCTGGCTCCAAATGACGTCATTTACTCAAGATGGCAGCGGCCATACTGAGATGCTTTGGCTTCACTTTTCTATAGTGGAAGGAATAGGAGACGCGTCGTCCATCTTTTTTTACAGTCTATGAGCAACGCACATACATAGAGCTCATCTAATATGATAAATAATAGCTCAAGTGTGCTTGCTTGTGAAGGTGAATTTTGGGTGAACTGTACATTTAATTAATTTAGAATGTTTATAAATTAAACTATTTATTAGCTACAGAAGCCACATTTGTGTGTTGGTTGTTTCCTTAGGCAGTGGCCATGTTCACAGAACTGATCCGAGAGAACTTCAGGAGCAGTAAATTGAAACGATGCTTGATTCCACCCCTGGGGGAGCTGCTCTACCTCATTGCTACACAGGTATGAAATGAAATGGAAAAACAATAAAATATATTGAATATTGAAATATATTTTATGAATAATAAAATAATTAATATAATAGTGATTTTTGGGACTGTGTGATGGTGTGAATTATAAATATTGTGTGATGTAATGGCACCTTTTTTTAATTGGATAAGCCTTAGAATTGCTAACATATATGGAATGATATTCTGGACAATATTCGAAAGGAATTGCAAAATGTATTTGCAGTTGCCGTTTTCAATTTGTAGACGCATACATTGAGACATAATCCAAACGCAATTGCAAATCATGTATTTATGTTTCGTTTTTTTTTTTCTGTGTATGTAATATGTCTGCCAGATTTTAAATGGAAACGCCAAGTCCATTTGCAATTGCGTTTCCAATGTCTTGCGAGTTATTGCAAAATGACCCTGTCATTTTGGAATAGCAATAGAAAATCACCTATTTGTTATTGCACTTCCTCCGCGTCCTGCTCCAACCCTCACAAAATTCAAATGGAATTGCAATCCCCTTTGCACCTAGGCATTCCCAATGCCTAACACAGTTCATTGTCAATCAGTCTTGAGGGTGGGGTTTATTGATATAGTTGGGAAATATTCCACGCCCACTACTGGTGGAAAATGAAGCACTGTTATTCGTTTCTATGAGGAGAATGGGGGAATTCGACTATTTTTGCTATAAAAAAACATGCCCTTTTTTAAACTTCAAATAAAGTCAAGAATCCATTTTTTATGTTCACCTGTCAACCAGAAAAAAAAGAAGCACAACGAAAACTGCTGTGACATGCAGTCGGTCAAATACTGGATGCAGAGTTATTAGTTAAATAATTATTAAATATGTATTAATTATTCAATTATTATTGATTGTGTTTGTTTTTTATTTACTTGTTTTGATTTTATGTAAAAGCCTAACCAGGGACAAGAGCTGCAAACTAGCTTTATGCTATATGCCCTATGCACGCGGCATCGGTTGTCTGTGTGTAACAATGCCTAGTTTATTGTCCCTGTTAAACAAACAAACATAAAATAAAATAACTTATTATTAAAATATTACAATTCTTCAATTTTGTAATGACACCTAACAAACCCCAAATCATAATATCAAATTACATTTCTGATTGTCAAACTAACTGTTTTTCTTGCAGAGATGTGCTTCCCTGACATTATTTCCATTGTAACAAACTATAGTTTGTTAGAAACTAGGGCTGGACAATAATTCAATATCAATATTGTTACAGCCAGCTCGTTACAAGCCACAACATAAAAGAGGGATCACACACCACCGTTCAATCAATACAAATTGATTTATTTTCTTTAACAAATATAACAATAAGCCCAAAGAGCAAACATAAGTCTAGGGAAAAATAAAGAAACAAAGGAAATAACAACAAAAATAACAGTAACAAAATCCTAAAGCTACATGATACAAGAAGCGTATAAAAATCATATGAATCAGAGAGATGTCACGTTCTGGTCAAGAGCTGCTCCTGGGAGAACTATTCCTCCGGGAGTGCTAACCTCAATGAACAACCTGAAGTCCTTATATAGTCTACACCCCTAATTATCATGAATTAATTAACATGGGGGAGTGACGCAAAACTCCCACAGTCTGCCACCAACAGGTAAGGAGAACACTCAGGGTCGTCACAATATGTATAGCGATATAATTTTTTTTCAATAACGGTGATATGATTTTTAAACACATTTCCGATATTTCGATATATATTACCAGTGTTTCCCATGTGTTTTACTTCGTTGAATAAACATGAGCACTGCACGCTTCAAAATCAGAATGCGGCGCGGTGTTTTATACGAATGTATCTCTGAAGGGAACCGACTGTCTTAAGAAAAGTTTCGATGGCATTTTCATTTTATCTGATAAAGAAGCGTTCATGAGCGGAGCTGCTTTGATTACAGCCGTTACTGTGGAAAAAGCTGTTTCTACAGCTCTAAAAAAGCGCCTCCTGCTGGCAGAGAATCAGTTTGCATTTTCAATAATAAGCCCGTCTCCAGCAACATGTTTCTGTTGTTGCTCAATCTTTTTGTTTTCTGCAGCACTTCAGAGCACTTTTCATACTCTTTATCCTGGCTGAAGCACATTTGTTTCAATCTATAAAAATAATCAGCCTACACTACCAGTCAAAAGTTTTTAAACAGTAAGATTTTTAATGTTTTTTTTTTAAAGAAGTCTCTTCTGCTCACCAAGTCTGCATTTATTTGATCCAAAGTACAGCAAAAACAGTAAAATGTTGAAATATTTTTACTATTTAAAATTGCTTTCTATTTGAATATATTTTAAAATGTAATCGGGGGTTGGGGGGGGATTATAGAAATTAATGCTTTTATTTAGCAAGGATGCTTTAAAGGGATAGTTCACCCAAAAATTTAATTTGATGTTTATCTGCTTACACCCAGGGCATCCAAGATGTAGGTGAATTTGTTTCTTCATTAGAACACAAACAAATATTTTTAACTCAAACCGTTGCAGCCTGTCATTCTTATAATGGAAGTGAATGGGAATCACGGCTTTGAGAGTAAAAAAAACCACACAAACAAAACCAAATTAAACCCTGCGGCTCGTGATTATACATTGATGTGTAAAGACACGAAACGATCGGTCTGTGCAAGAAACTGAACAGTATTTATATCGTTTTTTTACCTCTGATGCACTGCAATGTCTGATCTGTCCTGAGCGGTCCTCGACAGCCGGCGCGTGATGCGTCTTCTTCTTCTTGCTTTACAGCGGATCGCAGACTTATAAGTGCATTACCGCCACCTATCTCTCAAATGGACCATTGACACTCCTAATTGAGATTGTAGATAGAGTGTCAATGGTCCATTTGAGAGAGAGGTTTTTTGGGTGAACGATCCCTTTAACCCTCTGGAGTCTGAGGGTGTTTTGGGGCCCTGGAGAGGTTTTGACATTCCCTGACATTTGTGCTTTTACCAGTTGCTTAAAAACATTTTAATGGCTAAAGTTTAATGACACTGTAATCAGCACAAACTGGGCTACAATAATAGGTGAGCAGCATGTATGTACGTGATTGTGTTTTTAAGAAAACAACGCTTATGCGTGCTTAGTGGAAAAACTAAAATTTTAAAGTCACTGAAATAAGGCCATAAAACACATACAGAACATTTGTTCACAAGACTTTTGAGAACTGGATCTTGAAGTCTAGAGTTTTTGCTTCAAAATGATGTGAAAATCATCTTACTCATTCACAGAAAACAATATATTGATTTAGATTTTATAAGACACTTTTTGTGTAGAAAATGTATATGTGATGGGGCGTGGATGGTCATGCATAATGCTGTGATTCACACCTGAGAAGACAAAGACCTTAATAATGAGCTGCATAATGAGCCTTTCAGTCAGGTATGTGACTGAGAGGGAATTGCTACAACAAAGAATTAGAAGAAAAAAGAAATGTATATATTTTTTGTTTGTAGTTTATTTAGAATATATATAACTATCACATAAAATAACTTGAGATTTACTTGTGGGAGCAGTTAAACTGTTTATTAGGAACAAAAAAAAAACACCAAAAAAAAACAACAACAACACAAGAGTCAAGACGTCATGGGTGCAATATCCAAAATATCCAAAACAGCAGCAGGAAACTTGAACAACATTTTGAAGAGACTCATGGGGGTGTGTGCATCACATGGTCTTAGCGGTGGTCCAGGTTCCTGTGCCGGCAGGAATCTCAGGGTCTGTGGAACATGTCAACATCAGTCTCTGTTTTCCATGACCGAGTAGGCTGCTTTGCTTTGGCTCTCTTTGCAACAGGTTCTTTTACACTGTTATTCTCACATCTGAAATAAAAAAGC